GCGCGCTGAACTTCGGACTTCGGCTTTGCCAGAAGAAGAAGAAGAAGAAGAAGAAGAAGAAGAAGAAGAAGAAGAAGAAGAAGATAGTATGAAGAAGAAGAAGAAACGGAGAACAAGAATGGAAGACTTACATTTACTGATAGACGGCGTGGCGGGGCGATGGCTATCCTAGGCCGGGGCGGACGTGGGGGGGGCGACGCAGTCTTGACCTCGTTCACTTTCGACGAAGTGTCGAAGTGACGGGTCCTGCTGTTCGAAAGCAGCTGGAGGCGGGAGGCGGGGTGGTGGGGGATGTGCCTGGGGAAGGTTTGGATGACCGCCAAGAACTTTGGGTGGTTTCCCGCCCGAATGTTCAAAAATGGGCGACCTATCTGGGCCGCAGATCTCAGCAGATCGACGGCCCAGATAGGCCGCCAGTTTTTCAATAATCTGGCGGGTCTACCGGATCCGGTTGATTTTCTTTTGGGGGCCGGGAGGCCTCCATGACCCGCATGGCGGCCTCCCGGCCCCAAAAAAAGTCGAACCCCCCCTGCCCGCGAATTGCGCAAATTGCAACCGGGGGGGAACCGGTGCTCTCCACCGGCTGGTACCACCGGCCCGGTTCCGGTGGGGGAAGGGGAACGCGGTGGAACCGGATATTCAGCCTTGGCTGCTGCTGTGTTTTCACTACCGCCTTCACCTGAATGTAACCTACAGAATGGTCAGTATAAGCTGTACTTAGTGAAATTAAAAATTTTCAGTCTTGCAGATACAGCGATATCGATCGGAGGTTCTGCTCGGGGGAAAAGACGGTAGGGATTAACTAGTTAAAATATTGTCCTTGTGGAAGGACAACATTTTACACAAGGCCTCTTTCAAAAAAAAAAAAAAAAAAATCAAAATAAATTGTCCTAAATTCTAACGTTGTCGGTGTTTGGGTACTGTTGTTGTGGGGTCTTCAGGCGATCGGAAAAGACGTTGATGAAACTCATAGTGGACTCCGCCACCGACAAAGTTCTGGGGGCTGCCATGTGTGGTCCGGATGCTGCCGAAATTATGCAGGTATGGAACAAGCTCGATTTTTGCAACAAAAACAAACCTTTTTCTTTTTTATATATACCTTTTATTCGTGTGATCCTTGCACAGAGGGCATGCTAATATTCTCTCTCTCTCTCTCTGTCTCCCTCCCTCTCTCTCTCTCTCTCTCTCTCCATCTCTCTCTCTCTCTCTGTGTGTGTGTGTCCCAATTTTAAGGGATGTCCTCGAGGAGGTTTGTTATAGCACCTCTCTCTCTGTGTGTGTGTGTGTGTGTGTGTGTGTGTGTGTGTGTGTGTGTGTGTCCCAGTGCTAAAAACCCGGTAGGACCGGGGGGTCCTCCCCCAACCGGAACCGGAACCGGACCGGTCCTACCGGCCGGTTCCCCCCCGGTTGGCTGTAGCGCAGTTTATTTATTTATTTATTTATTTTTATTTATTTATTTTATTTTTTTAGCCCATGGTGTTGTTGAGGCCAAAGACTAGACCCACCGTGATTGCTGGCAGCGGCAGCCGGTGGTTGTCCTGACAGGATAGGCCACCTTCCCCACCCTTCCCCATGTTAATGCTCCCAGCGCACCCCCTATCCCTACTATCCTACCTCAGTGTCAGGACCATCGCCCTACCAGTATCGAGGGCAGTCACCAGACAGCAGTGACAAGCACCCCCTAACACTATAACCCCCACCCTTCTTTTCAAAGTTTTTGGGTGGGAAGCATCGTCCCT